AAAGAGTGGATCAAAAAACTATAGTACATTTATGTAGCATGGGGGCGTACTACCACGGGTTGCTGCTTGTCCCCATTCTGGGCAGCAACGGGAGTCAGCGGGACAGAGTGTGTCGCAGGGAGCGTGGCACCCTGGGATCTGAGGCTTACTGCCCTGGGCCTGCTGAGATGGAAGCAGGGACTCTGAATCCCAAAGAGCCCGTCTGGAGGGTGTCAGTGGGGAATAAACATGAGTCATTCCAAATACTTCTCTGTTTGCCAGGAGAGGGGCTGTGGCACATCCCTCTAGTGGGGAAGACCCAGAATCCCTTTGTTCAAAGGCTTTTATTGAAAAGGTTATCAGTGGGGCTAGGTAACAAGAATGCACAGGTTATCTCATTACATCAGTATGTTAATGTTCACAGAGAATGGGTGATGTTTTGAAGAAAACAAATGACAGGAACACACCAATTTACATGGATCCTAGAGGAGATTAGTAAACAAGAGAGGTGACTGAACCTGAGGACATAGTAAACACTAGAGTGCCTAAGGGTATAGGGTTAGAGTCTGTGAATAATGTAAATTTCCTTCCCAGTGTGAGCTGGCTAGAGCTTTGGAGGGAAGAACAAAGCACACGTTAAAGAATTTACTTTTAGGCCTGATTTCACTGGGAACTGCCAGATCTGGTTTAGGACTGACTCCGGTATTGTTTGGAGCCTAAGGGGAGGGGCAGGGGTGGGGGGAGCGGGGGGAGCCGCCAAGAGACAAGGAGACTTCTTTCAGATAGAATGAGGACTCTGGCCATGTCCAAGTTGAGTCGAGGGGTGCGGGCCTTTTTGCCCTTTCTCTGTGTTCCCCTATGTCTTGTCTGCTGCCAATACCCGATCGATATCTGTCTTAGGTTGGTATCTCAGCACGAGAAAAGTTACCCGTCATGGATTACCGATCATCACTTGGCAAAGCAGAAAGGCAGGAGCTACGCCCCTGCCTTGAGGAACAGGTTGTGTCTCCTCAGGGGCCTGTTTTCTCCAAGGCCTCCCTGATTATTTCCAGCCTTGGGGCCCTCCAGCTTGTTGGCGGGGTTACAGTTCCTAAAACCAGACAGGGTGTTTCCCAACACATTTACACAACGGAATACGATGCAGCAGAAAGAAATAAGGAACTCCTACCTTTCATGACAGAATGGATAGAACTGGAGAATATTATGCTAAGTGAAATAAGCCAGGCAGTGAAAGACAAATACCATATGATCTAATCTGTAAAAGGAACCAAATGAACAAAAACAAACTAATGAGCACAATAGAACCAGAGGCATGAAAACATGGAACATGTTTTCCCTCTGACAACAGCCAGAGGGAAAAGGAGAGGGGAATGTTGGTGGAAAGAAGGGGAATGGTCTAGTCAAAGAACATGTATGAATGACCCATGTGCATGGACAATGGTGTGGGGACTGACTGTGGGAGCAGGAGGTTTACTGGGCAACAGAGGGCAAAGGGGGAAAAACTAGGACAACTGTAATAGGACAACAATAAAATGTTTTTTAAAAACCCTAAAACACTTGAAGACTGCTTTGTAAATAGGCACACATTATGTACTTCTGAGGCCTCCTTCAGACTTCCTGTAGACTTTGGGCATGTCCCTGTTTCTCTCTGGGTTTTAGTTTCATTTCTTCTTAGTAATCGTCTGTCCTGCCATGAACATTTACTGATATTCATTCACTGCATAAGATTTGAGCTCAAACCTGAGAAGCCTAATTTTAATAAATTTGTATCATTATTGATTATTTTCAAGAAGTAGTTATTTTTTCAGTGTCACTTTCTGTTTTGAAACCCTTCAACAAATCCCCACTTTCTTCAGAATAAAATTCATGTTATTTATGAGCACAGCATGATTGCTCTTTCTCTTTCTCTGTTGTCCTCTCCACCTACTTACTCCCTTTGTTGTAATTCATGGTCCCAATTCACTACTTGATTTCCTTATAGTTACTCGTGTCTGATATCTATGACCCTTTTCTTCCTTTCTTTTTAGCCTGTAATTCTCTCCCCTACTCAGTTCAAACCATTCATCCACCTTCAGATCTTACTCAGGACCCATATCTTCATGAAGATCCTCTCTAGCTCTCTTATCCAACAACAAAATAAACTAGATATTTCTTCTGTGCCAATTGCACCTTATGACAGCTTTATTAAAATATGTATTATATTTCTTGACAAGCAGGTTCCATATTTATCCTAAAGGCTTTGTTCTCTTTGGGGACAAAAATTTTGCCTTTTTATTTATGATTAACAGAAAAAGGTAACTGATATTTATCAGGTAAATAAGTCTCCATGACATTTCACAGATATTTACAACATATTTACCAGAGAATTTTGCTTATATGAGTCATCTGGGTTCCTTTTCTGAGATGATCCATTACATAGAAAGGCTTAATCCTTTTGAGGACAAGGCATTAGTTTTAAGTTAATTATTTATTGTGCCTAAGTCAAGTGGCTCTGGAGCTTTGCAATATGCCTCACATGACTAAGCTACCATCATGGACTTGTTATCTTGTCATTTTTCTCCATGGCGGCACAAAACACTATCAGCTGCTCAGGTTAGCGTGCAGTTGTGGCCTGTATAAGCCCCTGTGCGTGTCCGGTGCTCATATAGCATTCCCACAGGTGAGGTCTTGAGGACCCAACGAGCGCTAGAGACCTAATTAAGTCTTACTGTGGGGATTGAGCCAGGGGGTCACTGTTTTCCAATGATTACCTTCAGCTGTTAGACAATTGCTTTTCCTGGACAGATTTCTTTTGTCAGGTGTGAATTGCTCCCTTGTTACAACACTTCCCCGCACTTCTGAGGACAGATATTGGGCAGAAATCATTTTCTATTAATGCAGACTTCTTGGAATTGAAACCTAGTATTGATTTTATTTCAAACCACAAAATTAACATGCCATCGCACACAGTATATAAATAACCACAAAAACAGACAGACCATCATCCACTTGGCTCCTCCTTCACTTCTTGTCCTCTGCCTTGGAAAAAAGGTAAGAATTTCCCATATAAGTTTGATGTTTTCTCTGTAGCTTTATTTTAACTAGTTGGTGATATATGAAGAAGATAGTTTTTAAAATATAGTCTTTGAAATAAAGGTATTTAAAGTAGTACTGACATTATTCTCAACATTTAGATTTTAAAAATAGAAGTGCCTATGAAGATTTGGTGAAAATTATAAGGCCAAATAAGCTTTATGAGCCCAAGGAAATGTAGTAATATTTTAAAAATGTGGTTATATATTTTTTTAGTATAGGGTAGTTAACAGGCTATATTAAAGGATATAATTTGTTAATTATATGTCTTCCAATTTAATTATGCATATTAAAGTCAGAAAACCAAATATATTTTAAAGTATTTTAAGGAAATTGTTGTGAAAGCTTTATTCAACAGGTAGTCATAAATGTAGCATATTGAATCAAGATATTATGGGAGTTCTTTAGAAACATGCACTACTTGAAATGCTTATAAATAATATTTTTAGAAGAGGTATTCATTGAACTAGTTTACAACATATAACATCCCACTTTATTGTTCAATTTAAGAGATTTAAAAATATTAAGTTAAGAAAAACAGAATTCAGTTAAAAAGAAACTAAGTTTTACTTTGTAAGAAAAATTCTAAAAGAGGTAGAAATAACTTGAAAAGAAAAACAAAAGAGATTTAAAGAACGACTACATCAGACTATGTATTTTAATAATGAAGTTTGGCTTAAAGTTTTGTATATAAAATGCTAACTATAAAAATATATAAAATGCAATGAGATCTTCCTTACTTGTAATGATCTCTAATATAGTAACATATTTTTGAGACCTGACAATTTAAAATTAATTGGAAATTTATAGAGGTCTTAAGCAAAATAAAATTAGTAAGAATTATATGGCACCCATGGGAAAACTCTAGAAAACATATTTTCCTAATAAAGAGAAATATTCAGCTGTAAATATTGCAAAGTATTTTTTGCACATGAATTAAGAACTTTTTCATGAAATATTTGTAGCAGAAATTTAGTTTATAAATCTAGGATTTTAGATTGTATGTCAAAGTATATTGGTGGCACAAACATTCTTTTTACTAGAAATTATAGAGATGGAACAAAATGAAGAATTTTTAGTACATTTTGGTCAAAAGTGTTAACATATGCTTTTTATTATGCTACAATAATAAGTAGCCTGCTTTGGGGAATGGGGAAAAGAACCTTATCTTTTGGTAAATCTAAGAAATCAGAGAAAAAGGAAGCATGGTGTATGGTCTCTAAAGTTATATGGCACAAAAGAAAAAACATAATAAGGTATGTGAGGGTGAAGCCTGTGTAGTGGCTACACATAGAGAAAAAAACAAATGTATCAATCCTATAAAAACATCTGGATAAATGGAGCAAATATGTGAAATGCTCAGATAAAATCTCAGTCTTATTAGAAATAAGGAGATATGATTAAACCAAATATTCATGAAAATTGTTTCGTTTAGTAAAGAAAAGCTAAAATAAACTATGATCTTCTATGTATACACTTCCCTTAATCAGTCTATTCACCATGGATATGAGGATCCTTCAGGGCTGAGACCTTAGTATTTTGTTCACTGCTTTAAACCCAGACCCTAGACAGCATTGGGCAATTAAGACTGCTGAATAAATATTACTCTTTTTGAATAAATGAATCAATTAATAAAGCTTCATATAAATATTTACAACGTTTTTCTGTATTTCAAAAAACACATTGTACTGTCGGTGAGATCAAAAAGAGTGAGATAGGGTAGAACTGAGAGCTGAAAAATCTGAATGGCTTTCATTGGAGGATAAAGTTGATAAGTAAGACTAGAAGGTTTTGGCTTTGATTATATAATAAAACTTCTACCGGTAATTTTCCTAAAATACAGTCATTTTAATTATCTTTTTTTTTCAAGAGAGAAGCCTACACAATTAAGAAAATATCTTACCTTGACAACCATAATTCTTTTTTCCCATTCACAGGCCTTGAGAGCCATGAAGGTCCTCATCCTTGCCTGCCTGGTGGCCCTCGCCCTTGCAAGGGAGGTAAGAAAATCTCTAAATAATTAACATGAGGTGAAATATATTCCCATGTGTAGAGAACAATATCACCTGTTTCTTAAATGTACAAATGAAGAATTTCAGAGGAATTTTTTAAATTCTTTAAAGAAAATCATGTATATTCACTCACTATTTCAACATTATCTTGGAGGGCCACAAATCTGGGTTAAATGCCAGCAATCTCTAAAGTAAAAACAAGCTAGCAAATAAGCAACTGACAAAACAAGAAGAAACCAACATTAAAAAGAGCAATATTGCATAAGTACAATTACATGCATGTACAACCTATATAAATATACTCTATTCTAGTGATGAAACTCATGTAACTCTTACCCTAGGGCATGGGGCCAAATCCTACCTGTGTCTGTCTAAAGACATCCAGAGGATAAAGTGTCAGGCAATAATCATAATTATAAACGTATCTGTAATCATGAAAAAAGTGTTTGATTAAAATAACTCCCTCTCTGTTACCCATCAAATATGTTCATTCAGATAAAATAAACATATACCATTTAGAGTAACCAAATATAAAAGACATAAAACACGATTACCTTTCTAAGCTCTCAGAAGACATACAATATTTTTATTTCCTAAATTTGTGAAGGAGATAGTTCTGCATAATGAAGGTGAAAAATTAGTAGGAAGAATGAGTTAGCTACAGAAACTAAATGGTGTTTTCTTTTTTTTCCCCATAAGGAAGAACTCAGTGTATCCAGTATGGTAAGATATTTTTTATTCAGGGAAAAATTTCATGATAAACTAATAACATTCTTTGATGATCCAGTTGTTGATTTTGCTTTTCTTCTTTTTTTTTCTTTACAGACTGTAGAAAGCCTTTCAAGCACAGATGTAAGACAATGTTCATTCTAAGTCAATTCCCAATTTTGGAATAGTAAAATGCTCTAGACTCTTTATACCATGTTACTTAAGGCATTTAACTAATATACTAGTTCTGATATATAAGTTCTGATGTAAATTTCCATTATATATGTTTAAAGACAAAATAAATGTCTGCAGAATTCAGTATTCAAACATTTTCTGGGCTGACTTGCTAAATGAAATTGTGTCACTGTGCCCCACCCCCTTCTTTAAATGAACTGTACAGTCTTTTTATCTGTCTTGAGCTCTCTCCATGGTGACCTCATTCACTGTTTTGCCATTTATCGGCCTTCTTCTGTGAATCAGACATTGACTAGGAGCTGTGGTGAAAACTGAAAAGAAGGTGCCCATAGGCAAGAATGGCAATATAGGAGGAGGGCAGACATGCCAATGGACATATTTTGTAATTACAGTAGTTGCTTTAGTGAATAAGAGGCTGTGAGACTTAGTTTTATCTTAAATCTGCCTGTGAGAGTCAGGTGGATAATTATGCTTGCCCCACTTTTGGGGTCTGTCATTACCTGTTAAATGGTACATGTGTATACTTTATCACAGATGTTATCAGATTCTTAGGGCAGGTATTTAGTTCTTACAATTTATTTGAAGCTCAAACATAAATAAACTAAGAATAATTAACAGAATATACCAAGGGTTATTATAATTGTTGATTAACAAATTACATTCTTATAAAGTCAGATGGCACATTAGAAATTATTTATTGTCATAGGAAGGAAACATAAAGAGAAAAATAAGATCAATTAAATGCCTCTTTTTGTACTATGTTTATTCATTTTCTTTTTTTCTCTTTTAAAACATTTTTAATTTTTAATTGAATTTATTGGGGTGACATCAGTTTGCAAAACCATACCCTATTTTTCTTGACTGTATTCATCTGTCTTTTATACAACTGTCTTGTGTAGAAGAGTGCTACACATAAGTTTTAGTAATTATCCTGAGTTTTTAATGGTGTTATCAAGCAAGGTATCCACATTAACCTATTACATGCCTTGTTTTCTGATTTATATGGGCAAATAAAATTTTTGTGAAAAGGTAACCTAATTTTATTTTTATTTTTCTGAAGGAATCCATTACACATATCAATGAGGTAAACCTATTTGTTTATTTTTATTAAATTTGTTGGGTGATGTTGGTTAATAAAATTATATAAATTTCAAGTGCACATATCTCTGATATATGATCTGTGCATTACATTGGGTGCCACCTGCCCTCTGGTAACCACCATACTGTTGCGTGTCTATAAGTTTTAGTGTTATATCCCACATAAGGGTGGTAAAATCCTTATATTTCAATGTACATATGTTTACAATTTCCTACATTCAATTTTTACAGATTATACCATTTCTTTTAATGTGGTTTGTTTTCTAGCAGAAACCTGAGAAGTTTGAAAGTGACAAACAGCAGCAAAGAGAGGTAAATTGTTCACAACATTTCTAAAATTTTTATAAAATATAATAGACATAAAAAATGTTCATGGTTAATGTGAAGATTTGTAATAAAATAAATGCCAGTGAAAGAAATGAAATTTTGTTAATATATTTTTAAGACAAAAATGCATTTTTAGGCTCTCCTTGCAGAACATAGACTAAGTTCTTAAGAATAATTGATTTGCTCACTTTGCTAATGCTATATTAGTTTTCTATAAATGCACACTAGTAGATATATTTCCAGGTTGGGAACTAGATCCCCCTTATTCTCAAAATAAATAGGCTGATGAAAGAAATAAGGCAATATGGCACAAATCCTAATTTGATCATTGATTAGCTCTATTACCTTGGCCCCAAGTTTCTCTGTGCTTCAAAAATTATATATGTTTTATAGTAACATTTATGAATACAGGTGGTTAATAAAAGAATTTCCATTACACAGATGAGAGAAGTGAGTGAGATACAGAACAATTGAGTACACAATTGTGTGACAATGTAACAGCTTTTTAGTAGCAGAGCTCGTTTAAAATTAAAGATTTTCTTAGACAACATAAAGTTCTTCATTTAAGTGAATTATACATGTGGTAACATATTTATCTAATTGTAATATTTCAGTCTCCTGTTCTATCAGTAGAGTGAGTTTGTTTGGAATTTATAACAAATATTTTTCTGAATCAAAATAAATTTTAAAAAATTGATGCTTTTTAAAAGACTTACAATAACTACCATCTACCAAGGGGAGTACTGCTAGAAGTTAGCTAGTGTTGAGCATCTCCTTCAATTAAACCACAAATTAAGATTTATTTTCATTAAAACACACAAAAGCAACCTTGAAGTCACTTCTCTAATTATTTAAAAAATACCTCTTCCTAATGAAAGCAATTTGGTCAATTATCCTCACATTATGTTGAAAAGTCCATGCCTGCTGGATACCAAACTCTACAGCTAGTCACAGCTATTGAAGGCAACTCAGAAACGGAGAAACAAGTTTGAAATGCCCAAACATTGATTTCAGTTTAATCTGTGTTCACCTAATAAAGGAAGTGGGTTAAAGAGAAATCCCTCAATGATGATTTAACTCATTAGTCTTCATGTAACCCCAAATGATTTCTAAGCCAGCATAAGTAAAAGATTTTCTTACTCTCTTTTCACTCAGTTATGATTGTTTAAAAGAGAGGAGGTTAATTCATCATGAATGTCAATTGCAGCTTAATCATGGACTCAAAGATTCTTTCTCTTTCTCTCCAGGGCAAATGCCAGGACAAAATCCAGTCCCTTGTCCAGCCACAGCCTCTTCTCTATCCTTTCGCTGAGCCCTTCCCTTACAATGTCCTTCCACAAAACGGTCTGCCTCTTGCTCAGCCTGCTGTGGTGCTGCCTATCCTTCAGCCTGAAGTGATCAGAGGCCCCAATACTAAGGAAACCATCTTTCCTAAACGCCAAGTGATGCCTTTTCTTCAGTCTCCAGGAGTGTCAATCTTTCAACACCAAATCCCAAATCTCAGTGATGTCAAAATTCCACAGCTTCCTCTGCCTCTGCTCCAGCCCATGATGCACCAGGTCCCTCAGCCTCTTCTTCAGGCTCCCATGCTTCCTCCTCAGCCCCTGCTTTCCCTTCCTCAGCCCAAAGCCCTGCCTCTTTCCCAGCAAGTGATCACCCACCCCCAGAGAGATATGCTCATCCAAGCCCTTCTGCTATGCCAAGAGCCTCTGCTTGACCCCACCCAGAATTCCAACCCTGTGACTCAACCTATTTCCACAGTTTATAAATTACAGCAAGTAAGTCCTAATTTACCAACTCTGTTGTTTTATTCATGGTGTTTACATAATATTAGAAGGAGTGAGAAATACAGAATAAATGAATAATGCATGGAGTCAAGTGCGCAACACTTTAGATCAAGGGTTCTCAACACTAGTTACAGAATAAAATAACCTAGGAAACTTTCCTCCCCACATTCCAGTGTCTACTACTACTCACTGAGATTTAAACATAATTGTTATGATTTTCTATGTAGAAGATACTGAGTATTGGAAAGAAATTATTTCAGAGATTCTGATTCAATCGATCTGTTGAGAATATAGATAAAAAAGATTGAAACTTACTTAAGACAGAATTAAATTTGGTAATCTTGGATGTGAAATAAAGAAGTTTTATTACTTTCTACAGTTTTGAAGTTTTTTTTCTGCATCTATTCTCCATATGCTTTAATTCACATCTTGTTTTTATACGCACCTGAGAGGTCAAATGATTGAGATGCTTATTTCATTACTCATAGAATTTTTATAAATTTTTATTTTTAATTTTTTTTTAGAGAGAGGGTAAGAGAGGGAGGAAGAGAGGGACAGAAATATAGGTGTGAGATGCGTCAATATGTTGTCTCTCATACACGCTCCTACTGGGGACTGAATATGCAACTTAGGCCTGTGCTCTGACTGGAAATTGAACCAGCAAACTTTTTTGCCTTGTGGGATGACCCCCACCCAACTGAACCAGAATGGTCAGGGTTCCCAGAATTTTTAGAATTGTGTTTGCCAAAAAGGGAATTGTTTGTTTGCTTTCTTGTTTGTTTGCTTATATATTAATTTATGCATGTATTTATTTTTTAAGGTTTAAGAGGATTTCAAAGTTGTTTGCTTTTCACCTTTGGTAAGTTTTTGGAGTTTGAAGATTAGACTAATTATGTTTATAGTCACCCATTTTTACATTTCATTGACCTGAATAAGCCCAAGAAATGAGAGACTCCACCAATATATGAACTTATTTATTAATTATCAATGTGTTGGGGACATCTGATTAGTTGACTATTACATACTCACTTGAAATTATGTATTTGTGTTTTAAATAATTTTAATTATGTTATTGACATATTTGTGGTTTGCTTTTAAGTGCCTATGTCCTTATGCTTGATTATCACTTAAAAAAAAACAACTGAAAGTAGTTTCTTCCACTTTTATGTAAATATGTTTGAGCTTTAAAAGAAAAATCAACTTGCATTCTCATTTCTACCTTAGGCTCCATAACATTTGATAGTTTTTTATTGCATTTAAAATTTTTCATGTTGTCTTTTAATTCATGAGTCAAAATAAAGTGGGTTAGTCCCACTGTGAGGATTAAAAAGGGGAGAGAATGTCGCTTTGAGAGTCTTAAGATACAAATATTTTAGTGACTATGGTAGACTAGATATTTCACCAAAACAATCCCAAATAAGATATTATTTGTTCTTTGAAGACTTTTCTATGTAAGATGGAGTGCAAGTTGGTACAGTTGTAATACAATTTCTCTAATGGGTTATTCAAACTAAAATTACAAATAGAGAGAGATGTATGATAATATAATAAAACTTAACTAATTCTATATTTGTTCTCTTATTTCCTAGAATTGACTGCGACTGGAAATGTGACATCTATTCAAAGTTGTATCAAATTATCAAAAAATTAATAATTTGTAAATAATTCTATGTGGAAAAATGAAAATGTATTTCTTTATTTACTTTATTGTATTATATAGCACTCATCTTAATTTGTATTCAACTCATAACCTCTATTTTCTGAATTTTAATTCAAAACGAACCACAGAATATCAGTTTTGAGTTGGAAGTACCATAACAATGTGAAATATATGTCCAAAAATAGTTACTGGAATTGTACTTATTATCACAATTTCCTAACCAGTCACCTAAATAAATGAATCCTTTATGCATATTTAAGTTTCCCTGTGTTTATTACAATTTTTCAAACCTCATTGGCCTCTTTAACTTTAGATTATTAATGTTATTAAAAATAGCTGTGGAAAAACACAGACAACAGTGCAGTGAATGATTAGGAGACAAGTATGGTTGGAGGTGGAAGAGGATATAGGGGGAATAAATGGTGAGGGAAAATATAAATAAATACATAAAGTAATCATGGGAGAATTGAAATTAAGTGTAATGCTTTAAATTGAATATTAAAAGATATCAAAGAGTGGAGAGAAAAGATAATCATATGCCATTTTTGCTCTAGAAAGTCTTGGTTTATACCCATGATTCCAGTTAAACCATTACACCTGTGCTTTGCACCTTCAAAAGCACCCAGCATCAGATGTCAAATTTTATGGTCACCCTCAAGGAAAAAAAGTTTCAAATGCAAAATCTGAATCACAGCTCTGTAATTTAACAGCTAAGGTATGCTTTAAAAGTCACTTGATTTTTCTAGGGCTTCAATGTCCACATCTATACTATAGCAAGTGCAAGGAATTTTATTGAAGTTTTAATGTGATTTGTGCACCACACAGTACATGATAAATGTTCCACTGCTCCATATTACTGACAACTTACATCAGAGCAACAGGAGCCAGTACCAGAGTCAGAATGAGCTGGGATACTTGCTTTTAGCGAGTACTGTTCCCAAACCAAAGACTAACAGGAAGCTTTAATGCATTCGAGTTGATCTACCTGAGTTTACACAATGATTCATCTATAGCAATTATTCCATCTTTCCTGCATCCTTGATGTTTTTCTCATGTCAGGATCAAGGGAACACCAAACTTATGCTATCATATCTTTCATCTTTAATGAAAAAATTTCCATCTTTAACAGTATGCCTCCAAATCCCTTCCAGTTCTTCAGGTTACTCCATGGCAATTATCATAGAAGTATCCTTATAGCTTCTTCAATTATATGTTACTCTCTATCAACTTGCTTCCATGAAGCTTTTGTTTCTACTCAAACCACTTATTTTTTCAAGGTCACCAACAACTATCACTTTGCTATATAATGTTCATGTTACCCTTCCTCTCAGAGCTATTTGGTAGAGTTGATCATCCCTTCCAGTTTGAAATATTATACTTCGCTTTATTTGAAATCCTAAACCTGTTAAACCCTCGGGTCCTGTGTTAATCTACTGGTTACTTCTTTGCAGTCTCCTTCTAATATTTCCTTTTTCAAAACTTTCAAAGTTGGAGTACCCTAGGAGTCAGCCTTACTCTGGCTGTTGTTGATTTTTTCAATGACTTTAAGTCCATCCACAGTCTATGAGCATCTAAATGTATATATCTTCAAACTTATTTCTATCCTCATCTCCAAACTCATACATTCCACTTGCCTTCTTAGCCTTCATACCTGAGTATCTAATTAGCACCTCAAACCTGGCCTGGCCAAGCATAACTCTTCATCTGGATCCAGTCTCTGATTTTCTTAAATTTAATTGAGCATATTTCAGTAAGAAAGGCAACTGATACATCACTATGTAGGCAATATACTTGAATAGGCATTTCGCCAAAAGAAGATGTCTTAATGGCCAATAATCATATGAAAATTTACTCAACAACATTAGCCCTCAGAATAATACAAATTAAAGCTGCCAGATAATATCTTGAAACAACCATCATAATGACTAAAATTAGAAAGAATTGCCATACCAAGTATTTGAAAAAACAAGCAAAAGGAATGCTAAGTAATTCCTTTTAAAATAAACTGGCACAAGCACCTTGGAAACCAGTGTCCACCTCTGTCAAAGACAAACATTTGCCTGTCCCATGACTAGTGGTTTCACTCAAGTATGTAGCAAACAGAAATAATATATATGTGCACTAAACAGATGTACCCAATGTTATTAGTGACATTATTCTAAAGATCTTAAATTATATCAACACTAATGTGAATCAACACTATTTTGTATAAATAAATCATAACATACAATGAAATGGAATATTATACTATGGATGACATGAATGAGTGACTGCCACACTAACCAACTTGGATGAATTCTATATGAATACTATTGAGTGACAGTAACCAGACACAAAATATAACAGGGTTTACAAGTCAATGAATAGACTCTGTTAAAATCTATAAAAAATTAATTTCTAGTGAAATAAGTTAGACTAGTAGTTATCTGAAGGGAGATTGCTGTTGATAGGGAACAACAGGGCGCCCTCAGCTACTAATGATATTTCTTTCCATTGATCTGGATAATCGATACTTTATAATGATTCATTTTGACATGTGAGTTTTTCTAAATGCATGCTTGTGGCTTTAAAAATTTAAATGTATAGTAAATTTAAAATAATTTGTTTTTTCTCCAGTATCTTGGCCACCTGCTTTTTCTTCCCTATGGTGGAGACTCACCAATGCAGAATAACCTCTTTGCCTTTGGACTTGAATGCCATTCAATAATAGGGCGTAGAACCTGATTTCCTCAGTAGCTGTGGAGTGGCTGGACAATACTATTCTGAAATGCATGGACTTAGTCTTATTGGGGTGAAATTTGAAAAATAAGAAGCAGGATATGGGAGAAAACTTGCAGCTTAATTCCAGTTTCATTATCTTCTCTGTACAGTTCTTCTGTGCAGCTTGTGTTAATTGAACAATCATCACCTTAAGTTTTTGATTGCTGAAAGGATTCGCAAGATTCAGACAGCTTACACTGACAGAACAGCTTTATTATGGACAATGAACTGGGAACAGCAACATCAGGTCAGGGATATGCATTTAAAAAGGTGCTGGGAGCTCAGGAGCAAACTTATTTGTCCTTGTACTACTTGCTAGCACAGGATACGCTTTATCTCTAGGTCTAAAACTATGAATGGAAGTTCTTCAAAGAACCTCCTTCCAGAAAGTTTAAAACTACTCATGAGGGTCTCTTACAATAGTCCCCCTGGCATATTTTAGCTCCTTGAGCAGTCTTAATAATTATTGAAAACTGCCTTCATTTCATCGCCCTACTCCTAGATTCTACTGCACCTGGTGTAAACCATATGCAATTATTACTAAACAATTCTGAAAGACTAATAATATCCTTCCCAAAGCAACTCACAGACATATGCTTGAAGAATAGTATTTATCTTTAGTTATTAAGAAACAATAGTGTTGGCCAAGGATTAGTAACTGGAAATAAGCATGTAGTCAAGCTGGACAAGCTGAAATTAACCAATGTCATGCACTGACTTTCTGAAGAAAGCTTGTATGCTGATAAAACATACCTGCTGAAAATCCTTCAACTTGTAGTGAATGCCTTCCACATTGCTTTGTACCTTTCCTTACCTCAATTTATTCAAGGTGCAGACATCTACATAAGTCATAATTGCTTTCAAACAAGCTTCAATAAACAATCACTTTAAATAGAAGGTGAAATTGTAGAAAATCACAAATATTTCTAAATACACAAAATAAGTGAATGCAAGATATTGTGACAAAGTTGATATTAAATTTAATGAAATATTTCAATATGACAGAGTGTATTTTCTCTCAGCTATTATCTTAAGGATCTAAGAAATGTCTGATTCTTTGAGAGAACCAAACTGAAAATCAGTCTCATGTACTACAAAAATATTGAATTTTCTGAATAAATGAATGTAATGGGTAGAATTTTGTTTCCTCAAAAGTTCTCTTTGTCTTAACCCCTAGTATGTGTGAATGTGACCTTATCTGAAAACAAGGAGTTTGCCAATATAATCAATTTTAAAGGAGGTGATACTGAATTAGAGTGGGTCCTAAATCCAATGACTGCTCTCTTTCCAAGAAAAGTTTGGACACAGATATATACAGAGGAAAGACGATCATGTGGAGGCAGGAGCAGATGCTGGAGTTGTGCATTACAAGATTCAGCTGCAAATATAGGAATGCTGCTAGTGAGGAGAAGCTAGGAAAAGGCAAGGAAAGGTCTCCAGGGCTTTCAGAGGAAACTGGTCTAATCTCCATGTTCCCTCCCTGATGTATAGAATGAGGTCAAATACACTGAATAAAAACCAATGTTATGTCTTCTGCTATAGTTAATAATTTCACATATCTGAAAGAATTTCAGTGACTGTCAAAAACTAAAAGATGCAAAGATAGTGAATGATATCATTGTCCTTTGCTTCATTTGGATTTTGCAATAGCTTCTTAGAGAATAGCAATAAATTATTGCAAATTTAATGAGGTGGTAATATCTATTACAGTTGCTATTTCAAATGTGGTATCAGAAAAATTCCTAATACTTGCATTATAGCTTGTCACCTGATAAATGCAGTTTTCTCTATTCTGCTTTTAAAACTAAAGAAAAAGAATAAAATAATAACAGAAAAGGTTTTTTTCTACCTTACAAAATAGTGGGACGCTATTTGGGACACAATATGGGACAGTTTTAAAAACTAGTCTAATCTGGCAATCCATGACAGACTGCAGAAAACATGATTGTTTTATCGTCCTATGGTTCACATGCATTCATTAACTTGATATCTTTATTCCCATAGGATTTAAGGCACAATAACTATCAAGTACCCTTGGAGCCTTTGGAAGTGACACAAGACAGGAACTAAGAGACACATTATATGAAGGCACAGGGGCCAACACTGTTTATTAAATTTTTTGCAGATCCAATAATCTGAATATGTTGGCAAAACTCTAGATTGAAAAACAAATTGTTTCATCTTGTACTTAACACTGAGGGAAAGCTGAAGACCTAATATTGAATGGCTTTCTTTATATTTTTTAAGGCAAAAACATTTTATGTTTGGGTATTAGGAATATATATTTAATTATATCCATTATTTATATATATTCATTATATATATTCAGTTAGATGCAGAACAACTACTGACCATCTTGATGGTTTAGGTGGTTGTTGTACAAGAAGCCTTGTCACTTGTATTTTACTGCCTAGTGGATACAATGCTGCTTAAAAGGTCATGGAAGATTAGTTTGAAAAGTGAATCTCAAAAGAGGGTCATATATATGGTGAAAAAAGGAGATATAACTGGGTTGTAAACACAATGCAATCTATAGATGATGCATTATATAATGGTATACTTGAAACGTACATAATTTTATTAATCAATGTCACCCAAATAAATGAATAAATAAACAATTTTTTTACATAGCAAGACAAAACATTTTTCAAATTTCTTTTTCCAATCTGTATGAAGGAGTTGTTTTTTTTAAACTTAGATTTTATTGTATATTATAGTTGTCCCAATATTTCTCCTTTGTACCACTCCAACCAGCACCCCCATACACCCCCCAGGCAATTCCCATATCATTGTCATAGGCCATGGAGTCTGGCATTTATATTTTTTGGCTAATCCCTTGTCCTTATTTCATTCACTTTCCCCCTTCCCCCTCCCTTCTGACAGCTGTCAGTGTGTTCCATGATACTATGTCTCTGTTTCTATTTTGCTCAATAGTTTGTTTAGTTCATTAGATTCAACATATAAGTGAGAGCTTATGGTATTTGTCTTTCACTGACTGGCTTATTTCACTTAGCATAATGGTCTCCAAGTTCATCCTGACTGTCACAAAAGTTATGGGTCCCTTCTCTCTTATGAACAAGTATTGAATCATGTTCCATTGTGTAAATGTACCAGAGATTTCTTTATACACTCATCTACTGATGGGTTTTTCGGCTGTTCCCAGATCTTGGCTATTGCAAATAATTCTGCTATGAACACAGGGGTGC